CCACCATTGAAACCTTCACCATGCAAATTTGAAAATGGAAAAAATACATTGAAGCTGTACATCAGTGGCTTACTGTTAATGGTCTTGTTCTTAACATCAACAAGACAGATGACGTATATTGTGTTAATTGTGTTTTATTAATTTTATTTAATCTTATCGGTGATTTCTGAAATATAAATTACCAATTAAAATTGTATTTCAAATAAAATAATAATTCAGAAAAAAAAAACTGATTTCGCCTGTGCTCGAAACGAGGACCTTGTAGGTGTCAGACGATGTGATAACGGCAACACTACGGAATCCCACGATAGAAAATGAAAATGAAAAAAGATGATTTCTAATATATATTTTTAATTAATTAAAATTTTATTCCAGATAAAATATTGAAAGATTGATTTCGCCCGGGCTCGAACCGGGGACCTTCTGCGTGATAGGTAGATGTGCTAACCACTACACTACAGAATCACATTTTGTTTAACATTTATAAATTATTAATGAAATATATATAAATTTCATTAATAATTTATAAATGTATGTATTTTTGTCCAAAGCAGAAGTAATGTTACCAACAGCGTCAAGAATTGCATGTGTGGTGGAATACTCTTTCCGAAATCCAAATTGTGAGTTTGTGAAAATACAAAATGTGTTAAAAAATTCAAGCGTACGCGTATACATTATTCTTTCGAGAATTTTAGAGAAAACTGTCAGTACAGATATTGGACGATAATTCGATGTGTCAGTGTGGTCCCCTTTTTTGTACACTGGAATCACCTTTGCGATTTTCATATCTGAAGGTACCGTTCCCGTCGACAGAGAGAGGTTGAAAAGGTAAGTTAAAGGTGTAGCGATTTCAAAAACAATATTTTTCAGAAGATCATTTGACACGTCATCGAACCCAGGACTCTTTTTTGACTTGAGCTTACGAATAATATTATATACTTCTGCCTCAGTGACTGGGAAGATAAACATCGATCTAGGATTTGGATCACCCATGAACTTCCCTGGCAATATAGAAGTTGATGGGATCGTCTCAGCTAAATCGGTCCCAGATTTTGCAAAGTAATTGTTAAAAATGTGACTGATTTCTCTAAAATCCTGGATTAGTTTACCATTAAAGTTTATCTCCTTAATTTCAGACGATTTACTTTTAATATCAGAATTTAGTATTGATTACAAGGCTGTCTCTTATACACATCTAGATGTGTATAAGAGACAGATAATTTTTCTTAGCATAACGAAGGGCAATTGTGAGCTTATTCCTAAACTTAACATATGCTATCTTAGAACTGTTGGTACCATCTTTTTTCCATTTACAATATAACCGACACTTTTTATTTATCCGTTTAAGAAGATGCGATAACCGCTACACATCGGAATCCGAGGTTAAAATAGAAGTCATGATAGATAATTTCTATACGCGAAATATTATTATTTAGTATGATTTCTTTCGCGTTAGAATCGAGATTTTCTGCGTGTTATGTGAGAAAAAACGCGACACCACGGAATCCGACGTTAGAACATGAAAACGAAGATAGATGATTTCTCTAATATAAATTGACAATCAAAATTGTATTCCAATTAAAATAATTAAAGACTGATTCCGCCCGGGCTCGAACCGGGGACCTTCGTGTTGGGCAGATGTGCTAACTGCTCCCACGAAAAAGAAAGTATTATAATAGACGAGATAGTGTAAACAAAAATATATTTCAAAGTAAACGATGGGGTGTGTAAGTTATTGACATCCAGTATGTAGTAGGCCCTCAGGCTATTTTTTTATAAAGCCGTAGTCATAGTATATCACTTCTTTGATCTTAAAAATATTGCACTAACTAATTTGAGTGAATAATAATAATAATAGCAATAATAACAATAATAATAATAATAATAATAATAGTAATAATAATAATAATAATAATTAAATGAATATTATGTTAGTGATCCAATTTTAGTTCAATAAGAGTTGATACAACATAAATAAATGACAAATATGTAAATCCATTTTAAATTAATTGTTTTATTGAATTATATATAATTTATATCAATGTGTGTTGTTTACATAGGCCTAATAATATGAAGATTGAGAGTTATTAGTATTTTCTGATTTTTCTCCAAAATATAGTTACCAATTTACAGAAAGTGAACAGATGATATGAATTTAGTGTGAAACAAGAGAAAGTGAATTGTATTAAATATTCAATTTGCTTGTGTTTTCAGAAAGCAAGCAAAATAACAAAAGAAATAACAAGATTAAAAAGCAATCACTGGCTATAGATGGATATGACAAAGTAGACACTTCTTATAGCAGGTCTACTTTAAGCATACCAAAAAACACGAATTGTGGCAAGTAACGAAGAAATTAAGTATGAATGTTAAAAAAAAATGACTAAAACACAAAAGGTTGGCTATAAAATACTGGTAAAGTCAACCTTTTTTGCCCTGATTAAGTACAAACAATAGACCTATACAAACGAACACAACGCCCAAATCTGAACCAAATGCTGTATTAAGATGGTTTTATACCATTGATAGTCGATAAGAATAGAATGGTAATTATTTTGAATATAGGATTGTAAACAATGAAATCTTTTCCTATTTAAAACTTTTCAATTATCAACACAGCTAAATAAGGCCAATGCCTCCCAATGCTGTTTTTCACAGGAATATTTATCACTTAGTTTGAGTAGTTGATTACATATTATAAAAATGCTGTTTACATAATTATGATTTACAATTCCGATGACCTTTATTGCGCTAAAATTCAGAAAAACAACATAATTTTAAATATCAAAGTTTTAATACAGGACAATTATATATAGGTAACGCTGTATTTCTATTATGTTTTAACTATTTAAAAAGAATTATGCATAAACTCGGGCATTCGACCGTCGTGCGATGAATCCAACTCCGTCGCCCAGTAGCGATTTTTTTTCTCCGTACGAAACATTTACATAGAACTCCACTCGGGCCGTCTCGACTGAATCGACCCGAAAATCTCATATTGCAGAATTCAGGAGGTCAAAAGGTTATAAACAAGATAAACGTCTATAAAACAACTTCTGAAAGAACGTCGCTGTCTGATTTTCAAAAATAAAATACATTGATGTTACCATTCTAATACTAATGGGTCGTCCAAAATGACATAATATTTGATTGAGCTGCACGAGTAATGAAAAGTGTTATTTGAACTTGAGTTACACTGTGACAGTTTTTATTTTTTAGTTAGGTCTGGGTTTTGCATAATTACCTAGGCCTACTAGCTACTAAAAATCGCTTTCTGGGGAAAGAACAAGGAGGAAGGAAAAGCGTGTTTCTTCATCAAATGAAACAGTATGACAGTTATTTTCAAATTAAGAGAAGAGCTGAGAACAGGCAGCTCTAAAATACTAGATGCCATAAGACCTGCCAAAATGGCAGAGCACCAATGAATGTAAAAATGAGGCCTAAGCCTAGTTATTAATATTAGGCATAGTGTATCTGCATGTTCTTGATTACAAGGCTAGACCAAGTTAATTAATACCGAAATGATTGTTTATTATTATTATTATTATTATTATTATTATTATTATTATTATTAATTATTATGTTACTAAAACCTACATTAAGGGGAACTTAGACAATGGATAAATTAGAGAAATTAGAGAGTAAATAGTATCTGCAGGATATTGATTACAAGGCATAGGGCAAGGTAATTAATGCTAAAATGATCATTATTTTTATTAGGCCTATTATTATTATTATTATTATTATTATTATTATTATTATTATTATTATTATTTAACATTACGTTACAAGGATAGTTTGGCCAAGTTCAATAACGCCGGAATGGTATATTTTATTTATCATATTTTTCTTATGCACTCTATTTTTTATTTCATGCTTCAATTTTTTTTCCCATTTTTAAAAATAAAATTTCAATCAACGTCATGTAAAGCGTGACTGTTGGTGTCAGCCTAGGACCCTAAGGACCTAGGCCTAGTTTAGGGAGGGCCTGGGTAGGACTTACCTCAGCCTGTAGTTAGGCCTATAGTTTATCCTCTTTCTCTCTAGCCTTTGGTATTACTGTACCTATCTACATTTATAAAAGGGGGTACTAGCTGTTGCTGTTGTAGATATTATACTAACATTTAATAACATACAAGAAGGTCACAGTTAGTTACACACGTACATCCCATAAATCCGTAACAATTCATAGGCCTACCGTAGGTAAACATAGAAAGAGCAATGGTAGTAAAACTCGAGCGTCACGACATTGCGAAGCGTCTGCTCTTGTTCCTCGTATCGAACTCGAGTCGAGTCAATCCGAGATGGCCCGAGTGAAGTTTCATGCAAATATTTCGTACGGAAAAAAAATCGCCTCCCGGTAAGCGCAAGACGAAGCAACGCCATTTGCTGATTGTCGGTGGAAGTCTGAACGGATCGATGTCATTAGACTAGGACCTGACTATGATTTTTATGCAGTTAACCTAGGAGAGAATATCTTAACTGATATAACCCTAGGAACAATATTGGATGTGTACCAAAATCTGTATCCGGGACGAACAGCCAGAAATTGACCACACTGTTTTTTTAATGGCCACGCCTTTTTCGTTGGAAAATTTTCGTAAAAGAAAAACCCTTGCTTGCCAGATATTCAGATTGTCTAGCTTACCGTTAATGTAGCACATCCAATAAAAAAGGGGGCGTGTTTGTGTGTGTTTTTTAATATTTAAGCTAATTTCCATATGAACTGGATTAAGGTTCTGAAATTTAATCCCCTCATCATATGTGTTCTTTTTTATTAAAAGAAAACAAAATGCAATATGTTCATATTGTCTAGGCTACAGTTTAAAATAGCACTTCCAATAGAAAATAAAATCATTGGAAAAAAATCTATGAGTGCTGACTCATATATCAGAAAACACCAAGATATTCATAACAAAAGGGTGTGCGCTATACGCTTCAAAATGTAGAGTGGCGTTACGCTCGTCTCATGAATTGGTACCTTTTACTGCGGTGTAGTCATATTCAATGTTATTTTACTATTTTACAAAGAATTGCAGGCAGAGAAGAGTATTATGCCACTTATGTATCGCTTCACTGGACTCAGATCCGTGATATAAGTCTTTCGGATTTTATTTTTATATGCTATGAATGGTGAAGTCACTTATATACCACCAATATTCTAGTCCACAGGACTTGTTGATTTCACTTGCTTCTAACTGGTAATACGTTTTCAAATATATGCACAAACTGAGGTAAGGTTATTGATTTTATTTTATATTATCAAATTTCAAGTGTAAATGGCATACACACACACCCCCCACACCC